TATAAACTTTGCAATCTCAAAATAACTTATGATAACTAGGACAGTCGCTTTTTTTTTCTTTTTTTTTTTTGTATTAATGAGATTAAAATTTCTCACCCTAACTAATGTTCCTGCATAGTCCAAGACACGAGCAGCAAGCTCACCAGCAGCCCTCATACGGGCAATGCCTTCGGCATCATGAATCTGATGCTCACTTGAAAGTTCTGGCAATAGAGATGAACCCGCGTAAGGAGGCTTTGGTATGTGATCAGGCACAGGGAGACGTGGTGATACCTTTCCTCGCCTCAAAGGTGGCCTTCTTCTAAACTTTCTTGTACTTTGGAGTTCACTCTCTCTACAAATATGTAACCAGAATCGAAATCAATTGAAGAGAAAAAACAAAAAAAAAAAAAATTTAATCCATCATAATTTCATACCTCTGTATTCTCATGGCTTCTTCTAAACCGGATCTTCTCTTGGAATAAACAACCAGCTTCTTTGGAAAACGAGACTGTTTCCCTGAAATCAATAGAAACAAAAATGTTGCAGAAGTAAAGTAGATTCAGAATTCCGCACCAAATTCAGCAAAATTACATTGAGAAAAATCAAATTTAGTATCAGATTCAGTGTTTTCAAAACGAAATAAGATAAGAGTATTAGTCTTTGTAGTAACGAACCAGAGAAAGAAGACGAAGGAGAGGAGATGAAGACAATTGATTTTGATGATAAAGGTTCGCCATGGAAGGATGACGAAAACTGCAGGGAGATGCCATGGGAGAGTGAAGCAGAGAAGCTCATTTTGTCGAAACAGAAAAATATTGAGAAAAAGAAGGGTTTATGGGTTTTCAACTTTGCCGGATAAGGGGTTTATGGTTTTTATTCCAAAGAAGGGAAACTGAAATTCCATTTCCTTTTCCACCGACGAAATAAAATGTAGTAAAATCTGTTAATGGGCTGAACAATGATTGCGAATAGGCCCAGCCCCTTTTGTGATAGGCCTGCCCTGCTACCCAGTCTCGCTTCTGGGCTCCCTTGGAATTTGGAAAAACCCAGAATGTTCAAGTGGTTTAGGAGATGTTTGGTTAGGGAAACTTTCTCCCCTAAACTGTTTAAAAATTTTTTTTTTACAATATTATTAACATATTTTTATATATTAATATTATAGCAAAATGAATTAAAGAAATATTTTTAATATTTATTTTTCTTAACATAATTTCTAACCTATAAAGTTTTTTTTTCATATATTTTGAAAAAAAAATTTACCTATAACTTTTTATATATCAATTTCTTAGCAAATACAATGAAATTAATAATTCAACAAAATTTTAACAAAATTTTATTATAAAACTTAATAACTTTTTATATAGTATTTTTTCATCACTATTTTAATAAATTTTTTTAATAAAATAATCTTTTAACTAAATAAACTTTGAGTTAGCTTGCATGCACCATGTTATTTCATCTTGTGGAAAGCAAATCATTCAATATTGAAACTCGGTGGTTCATATAGATTTATTTTTCCTCACAACTTTTCTAAAAAAATTAAATTTTAATTTGTAAGGTATAAAGGAAACATTCCTATCCATAAAAAGACGCTTCATTTAGAACCACAAACTAGTCATCAATAAAAATTTGTCGTGAGAAATAGAATATATTATCAGTTAATCACTATTCCTTCTTCGCCCTGTTTGACAAGTCGGGAGGCAAGTAGGTTAGGGCACTTGCTCCCTAAGAAATTTCGTTAAACACGTTCTTTTCTTCTTTTTCTTTGGGTAGAATCTCTTAAGACACGTTAATGCAGCTCGTGTCAAAAGGTCGAAAAGCAATCTTGTACCAAGAAATTGTGCAGGGAATAGACAAGGCCGACAGTCAAATACGGCACATTTTGTTCCAAATAGCAGGAAAGTAAGTTGCAATCAAAAAGATCCAGGAAATCCTCAAAGCTTGCAATGAAAAGACATTAAGTTTTCATTTTTCTTCTATTGATCGTAATTAACTACCAAAACAGAAAACAAAACACCAATTAGAGCTGCCCAAAACAATCACCCTTGAATTCCACCATGCAGTCCATTGATTGAGCCGAGCTTTTCAATGAAGAGGTGGTGGCGTCCACCTTCTAGGAATTGAATTCTCAATTTTTAATAATTAATTAATCTGACTTATTAATCATTATCTTATTAAAAAAATAATAATAATCAATCACTCTTATCCCTCTGGTGTTTTTCTTTTATTTGACAAGACAAGCGCCTTCGGTTTACAGGAAAAAGTGAGGGTTTCAAATCCTTATTTTTAATAGTAGCACCTTGATTTGTTAGTTTTGTAACCAAAACTCCACCTCTATCCCTCTCCCAAGTGTTATTTTTTACTAATTCTTGTTGAACTTAATTTAAATTATTTATTTTTGTTTTACAATTCAAATTATAAAATAATTTTTTCCCGTTCCAATATCTTCTCTCTTTTTTCATGAAATGTTTGAACAAGTATTGTAGTACTATATAATTAATTAACTAAAGTCATCCATGAATTCAATTCAACTAGGATATGAGCTTAATTACCAAGAACATTCACGAAAAACATTTTATAATGATGAAGACCAAACGGTGAACAGACGTTATTGCATATTTAAAGTATTAAATAACTACCCAAACAACAAATCTATGTTGGTAATTTAAACTCTTGTATTAGTATATTGGACTTCCAGTTAAGTACTCCCTGCACAACTTGTCAAGTAAGTAAAGGAGAACGTCAAGTTATCAATATAAAAATACGGGGGAATCAAGAATTTTATTTGAAAACGCCAGCTTTGACCGAAAAAGAAAAATTAATTAAGAGATGTTGACAATGTATAGCTCGTGCTCTTGAATTTTTTATCTGCATTAAATTTATGATGTCAATAGCATTTAATTATTCCATAAACATTGCATTGGCATTGCTTTCTAAAGCATCGGACAAGTAGTTCAAATTATTTCACTAATAATTGGATTTTCTATTCTTGACAATCCAATGTTGAGGATGTATCAATTCCTAAGAGAATGAAATAAAGAAGTTTTTATTTGGAGTTTCGTGAATTGTTTGAGAATGCATTATTGTTATGATATCTTGACACTGATCAAATCTCTTTTGGCTATGATATGTATAATCATGGGAAAATGATTAGGTGAACTTGGACAAGTGTTGTTCGGTTGAATTGATTTTAGATGTCAAAAAATATAAACCAACGATGGGAGAGAAATGACATATATGGGGAGAAGTAGCTCCCTCTGGCCTTGTCTAGTGTCTACTCTTGAAGAGTTTATATGATATTGAAGTAGGGGACCCTACCATTTCGTTTACCAATTCAGTTCAAGAGTTCATGCTTAACATGGTTTGAATTAGTTAAAATATAATGCTGAGTCCTATTCAACTAATTAACTAAGGTATTGTTCATAACTTGACTAGTAGTAATTTATTTAAGACTTGTATGCATTAAAATAATATTGTGCATTTTGATTTATACAGATTATATATTCAAAAAAAATAAAGTGCAATTCGTTTCATTGAATCATTTTGATAAAGTAAATAAAAACTTCTAATATTAAAGGTTCATTCTTCTATTAATGATTAATTATTTTACAACTACATAAGATAATTGAAAAATAACATTAGATTCTATATTCTTTGAAGGAGAATTGAACCCAGCCCTTGGAGGCATTGAAATGTGCATCTACCATTGAGCTAAGCAACTACTTGCTTGATAATAGACCCATTTAATTAGAAGTACCATGATATCAAACAATGGAAGACTAATGGGGTAGTTTTAGAAATTGATAAGAACTAATTTGTTTAAAATAAAAAATTTACAAAAGCTCGTTGTCAAATATGAAACTTCCACTTCTAACTTTATGTAATTGGTGTGAATCGTATGATCTTGAAAGATCTTATAAACAATATATATATTAGGGGGTAAGCAAGTGCCGCTAGTGGAAAATGTCACAGGATGTTTATAAGATCTCACCAACTGGCCTGTGATCATGTACGTTATCCTGCTATATATTGCTTTTTTAAGGTAGGCAAGAAGGCAAGTGAACATGTCATGAAAACCCAAACAACATCTCTATTATTGGACAAATCATGGCTCACTCTTACTCCCTAGATGGCATACTCATCAACCATTAGCCAAAACCCCCTTTCTCCAAGCACAAATTAACCATTTTTTCTTTGCTTAATCATTCTCTTTTTCATGGGTCATGAAGCACCCAGATATTTTGTGAAAGCAACAGCCCACACACAAAAGCCCCTAAGAACTAACATGAAGATTAGAATAAAAAAAAAAAAATCCCTGACAAATCATCAACTGAAACAAATTGACAGTTATCCATTCTAAATATTTCTTGCTTTTAGCTTTTCTTCTTGGAAGAAATGTATTACATATATAATAACACCTTTTTTCTTTGCCAGCTTTCTTCAGCCTTTCTTTTTCCAATATACAATTTTCCCTTCTACCTCACCTAATTAACACCTCCCTTGCTCTTTCACCCCCAACACCTCCCCATAATTCACAAAAAAAAAGGATTCTAAAAATACAGAAATTAATTAAAACCCCAAAAAAAATTAAAAATTAAAAAGAAATGTTACAAGACATTGATTATCCTTTGCTTCTTCCTACAATCTAATGAAAGCAGATCTATTTCGTTCATCCTCTTCCCATTACACCCACCCACGTTGTCACACACACCACTCCCAGGAATTTTAAGGATGTTAACCCCAAACAGCCTCACCACCTGGACTGGGCCCCCCGGGCTTTCCAATCCAAATTGACCCGAATACTGCCCGGCCCGAGTCTTCCAGTCGATGTAGAGCTGCTTCTCCGGTCCGGTCGATCTCTGGAAGATGACAATGTCACCGGCTTTCAGGTTCTTCTCCTTCACGAACCGGCTCCACCCCTTGGTCAAGACGTAACTCTGGCTGCTGTTCCAGTAGGAATACCGGAACCTCCACACCTTGCCCGTGATGTCCTCAAAATTCAGGAGCACTCCTTTTGCAGAGGCGCTTCCGTTTTGCAGCGGGAAGTGCTTCTCCGCGTGCTGTTTAGGTATCACCAGCCGGTTCAGCTTCCCAACGTCGCTCGGCGTAACCGCTTTCTCGAACAGCTGTTCACGCGCCTTCAGGCCAGGACCAAACAAGCCGCCGATTCCACCTTCCATCCTGCCGACGCGCTTCCCGTTCCCGTCGAGGCCGTAGCTCCGCCGGCTCTGCTCCAGCTCGTCGTCGTAAGTATGTTTCCGCAACATATCAACGATCTCCGGTTTGGAATGCGAATTCAGAAAAGCCATTTCGACTTCGTCCTCCCCGGTTTCCTGGAGATGCTTGAAATTGGTGACGGCATCCCGGCCCCGAAACCTCTGCGCCGCGATGTCGTAAGCTCGAGCAGCCTCGTCCTCCTCATTAAAAGTACCGAGCCAAACGCGCTGGTGCTTCTCGTATATCTGCGCCCCCCATCGACCGTTTGGCTGTGGGACCACACCTTTATACTTAGAACTCGGTAGCTTCCTAGACTCAGCTTCCACCCCACCTTCCAAGTCCAGAACCACGCTAGTCCCACTCCCCATCCGGCAGAAAGACTCCGGCGACTTGTTATCACCTGGAAAAACAGAGACATTCAACGGAGGGATCGAAACCGATATGGAATCAGTACTAGTTGTGCTCTCGTCTGTGCAACTTCCATCCATGATGTACTACAAAAGAGAGAAAAAGTCTTTCTGTTGTTGTATTTCTTGACAGGCAAGAAAAAAAAGAAACTGGAGAAAGAAGAAAAAGAAATGATCAGTTTGGGCAGGGTTGAAGATCCACTACCATGTCTATATATAGAGAATGGTAATTATAAAATAAAATAAAATAAATCAAATTGTTAGAGAATTAATAGTATTAAATTATAAAATTTTTATTTTACCATTTAAATATATTAAATTATAAAATAAATATTATTAAATAAAGAAAAAAAAATCTTCTTCCACAATATTAGAAGTTTATTTTATTTAATAATTGAAATTATATAATTTAAATTAATTTAAATTATAAAATATTTATTTGTATAAATTTATTATAGAGGTAAGAAAAATGAAATTATGGGGGTGTGGTGGGTCAACTTGAAAGGAAATGGGGGATGATGGTAAAGGAAAGGGAAGGAACTAGGTAAGGAAGATTCGAGGGGAGAGAGAGGGTCAAATAGTAGTAATGTGTGTGTGTATGTTGTGGGCTGTGGGTGTATGTGAGGTGGGTCCCACGTAAGCAAGTTGATGGGGTTCACATGAGTGGGGACCTGTGTTGGTTTTTTAGTTAAGTTCATCCCCCCTGAGCTTTGCTGCTTCCTTAGCTGCTGCTGACCCACCCGCGCATAGGCTTAGGCTCCTTTTAAGTTACTTCCCATTTCACAGTACATCACTAATATTTTATCAAATTAATAAATCTTAAATCTTATCTGGTACTGCTGCTGTCTGAAAAAGAAGCTCTACAGTTATACCATTTTAATACGGTGCATCAAATAGGCATTATTTTCTTTTAAAATAATTAATAATTAATAATTTTAAATTTTTTAAATAAAATTTTAAAACTGATTGTTTTTTTAATAAAATTAAAGATAAAAAGATATTTTTATAATAAAATAATTAATAAAAAAGACCACTTTGATATAATGTCTTTATTTTGAGATAAAAAATATTAATATTTTGGTTAATCATATAATTTTATAGTAAAATTATTTTTTTTTATGGACTACCTGGTATCAGAAGCCACTGACTAATCCGGATTTAAGGTAGAAAGGATCCAACGAACGGCAAAACTCTTTCTCATGAATTTTAACAAAACTGCATTCTCAGAATTTGAAACCAATCCTTCTGATTAAACTAAAAAAATCTCTATCAACTCATCCACTCACTCATAAGTTTTATAGTAAAGTTATTTATAAAAATGTTTATATTTTAAAATAAATAAATTATTATTTTTTTACTAATTCCTCGATATTTAAAAATTATCTTGAATCTTAATTAATAAAAAATTAAACCGCATCAAATTTTATAAATAAAAATCTTTTCCAACATTTTTTTTATTCACATAAAATTTTAATTTAAAATTTTAATTAAAAACAATTAAAATCCTTTCATTTGAATTAACATATCATTATTTTTATATTTAATAAAAAAATTATAACTATTTTAAAACAAAGGAGGGATAAAGATATGTAATTGCATGATTGATGGACATCCAAAATATTATTGTTATTCACGTGTTATAACATTTTGATATAATGATGTGCCACAGAATCTGATGTGGTTATTTGGTGTTGTTTGTATTAGGCCAGTTAGAAACAAGACACATACGTTCGGAAGGGAGAGAGGAGAGTTTAGTTCCAATCCACTAGGATGGGAAATGGGTCCCAAACATGGGAATGGAGATAGACATCGGAATTGAAGACAGGAGGCTGCATCCCAACTGGAAAATTCCCTCCCCCATAAAAACTAATATTACCCGGCGTCATTTGATTCGTCCTCTCCCTTTCCCCCCCCTAAAATTCGCTTTGTCTTTATTGCCCAGGTTCACCCTTAAATAATATCTCTCTTAACCATCAATTGAATTTTCCAACCAAAAAAAAACAATCGACATTATCTGAAACCACACCACTTGCTATATTTTTCCTAGTTCATGCACTACGTCAATGCATCTCGACCATCCATTAATCTTAAATCCGACGGTGATTGTTTTGTGGATTAAATTTGAATCCTATTACATAATCCTTCCCATGTGGGACCATTGTACGGTCAAGTCCTGAGTGGGACCCATATTGCCAAGTTGATTAAACCAAGTGCTTGAGACGGTGGAATCGATCCGCGGTTTTTCAAGTTTGGTTTGATTTGGTATATCAACAATATTATAATTATAAATTTATATAATATTATAAATTTATAATATAATAATTATTATATGGTAAAATTTTTTATTTAAGAATTTATTTATAATATTATATAAATTTATAATTATAATATTGTTGATATACCAAATCAAACCAAACTTGAAAAACCGCGGATCGATTCCACCGTCTCAAGCACTTGGTTTAATCAACTTGGCAATATGGGTCCCACTCAGGACTTGACCGTACAATGGTCCCACATGGGAAGGATTATGTAATAGGATTCAAATTTAATCCACAAAACAATCACCGTCGGATTTAAGATTAATGGATGGTCGAGATGCATTGACGTAGTGCATGAACTAGGAAAAATATAGCAAGTGGTGTGGTTTCAGATAATGTCGATTGTTTTTTTTTGGTTGGAAAATTCAATTGATGGTTAAGAGAGATATTATTTAAGGGTGAACCTGGGCAATAAAGACAAAGCGAATTTTAGGGGGGGGAAAGGGAGAGGACGAATCAAATGACGCCGGGTAATATTAGTTTTTATGGGGGAGGGAATTTTCCAGTTGGGATGCAGCCTCCTGTCTTCAATTCCGATGTCTATCTCCATTCCCATGTTTGGGACCCATTTCCCATCCTAGTGGATTGGAACTAAACTCTCCTCTCTCCCTCCCGAACGTATGTGTCTTGTTTCTAACTGGCCTAATACAAACAACACCAAATAACCACATCAGATTCTGTGGCACATCATTATATCAAAATGTTATAACACGTGAATAACAATAATATTTTGGATGTCCATCAATCATGCAATTACATATCTTTA